GGGGGCAGGGCTGGCTGGCATGTGGTGCTGGGGGATCGAACCGCGGTCCCTGTGCTTTGCTAAGCTTGTTCTAAGTAGGTGCTTTAGACCACTGAGCCGTCTCACCAGCCCGAAGATGTCTTTTAAAACTTGATCTCTTTTGAACTCAGGCCTTTGGCCTTGCCAGACAGGCACTGTGCTGTTGAGCTATGTCCTTCCCCACTATTTGCTTTTAGCTAAATCAACAAGGGAGTCCAGATTCTCTTCTCAGCCTTGGTTGATACTTAGGCAAACAGATGACATCACAAAATCATTTACAGAAATTTTCATTATTAGATGACAAACTTACCTACTCTAGGATTATAGTATGTTTGTTGCTTCTCTTGGCCAACTGAACACTAGATTGTATGGTTTAGTTATGAAGTGATAACTAAGGGTACAAAAGGATTGTGTGTGTGTGTGTGTGTGGTTTTTTTGGTGGTACTGAGAATTGAACCTTGTGGCTGTCTATCATCACTGAACTACATTTCCACTCTCCTGCCTCAGCCTCTTTTTTTTTTTTGGTGGAACCGGGGATTGAACTCAGTCCTTTGCGCTTGCCAGGGAAGCACTTATTCCACTGAGCCATCTCCCCGGCCCCTGCCTCAGCCTCTTGAGTGGCGGGGGTTACAGGCATGTGCCACAATGTACCTGTACCCAGCTGTCCTGGCATGTCTTTTGCCCATAAAATGAGAGCTGTTTTCTTGACCCTTTGAACGTGAGTGCCCAAAGTAATTTTGTTCTTCAGGATCTGATTGTAGTGTTCACAAATTATTTTGGTCTGCATGGAACTACTTGCATTGAAGGGAGCACTCCTTGCTTCCACAGGAGATAAGATGGAATGTGGATCAGTGTGTCTCTTGGGTGTCCCCAAGATTTTGATAAGGGGTTAGGGTGTGCTTTTTCTACCCATCCTTTATTATAAGAAATTAGGAGCCCCAGTATAATAAGGCTCTCTGGGGCTCATGGAGTCTGGGGTATTCACAGATAACTGCTGACTTGAGAGTTAATTTGAAAGTCATCAGCTATAAAGCCAGTAACAGTCTCAGTCTTTCCTAGATCCAATATGTATGGTTTTCTTTTCTTTTTTTGGTGGGGGTACGCTGCTCAGGTTTGCCTTAGGATGAGGGGATCGAACCACAGCATCGTGAGCCTGACTGCTTTATTTTAGCAGGCACTTACACACCTGAGCTAATGGGCAGGCTCCCCCAAAAATGGCTTCTTAAGAAATGAAGTATTTCTAAAGGTTTTCAGGTCATTATTTTTCTTTTTTTTTTGGTGGTACTGGGGATTGAACTCAGGACTTTGTGCTTGCCAGGCAAGTGCTTAGTATACTGAGTTATCTCCCTAGCCCCATCAGGTCATTATTTCCCTTCTATAGTACTTTAGGATGGAGCTGATGCATGCTGAGAAACTCAGGAAAGAAAAGCAAGAATTTGAAAAAGCTGACATGGATATGGTAAGATCTAGTGTGTTGTCACTCATCGATAGTACACAGTCTTTTGAGTCTGTATAGGACCAAGAGTCTTTGGAATATAGTTTTTTTCCTACCTTAGTGTTGTCACATTTTGAAACTTAAAGATCAGGGCCAGGGAGATAGCTCAGTAGAATAAGCACTTGCCTGGCAAGCTCAGGGTCATGAGTTCAATCCCCGGTACCAAAAA